CCATATAGAATTTAGAAATTTTGAAATAAAGAGTACAGAGCAGCAAATATTATTCTGGTATTTTACTTTTCTTTTCTTTTTTTTTTTTTTTTTTTTTGAGACAGAGTTTTGCTCTGTCCCCCAGGGACATTTTATAACAATGGTGACATTGTTATAAAATGTTCTGATCCCACCAGCAATGGTGTGATCTCACCTAACTGCAACCTCCACCTCCTGGGTTCAAGTGATTCTCTTGCTTCAGCCTCCCAAGTAGCTGGGATTACAGGTTCCTGCCACCATGCCCAGCCATTCTTTTCTTTGTATTTTTAGTACAGAAGGGGTTTCACCATGTTGGCCAGGCTCGGCTCAAACTCCTGACCTCAGGTGATCCACTTGCCTCAGCCTCCCAAAGTGCTGTTATGACAGGTGTGAGACACCATGCCTGCCCTTCACTTTCTTTCGCAAGGCTTTGGTGATTAGTTTTCAGGAAGTCCTTGAGAAATCAGAGTTTTCTGGAGACAAAATAGAAACACTGTAAATACATTTAATATAGTAACACTTGATAGTTCTGCTGGAAAACAAAAACACTTCTAAATGTGAAAAACAAGCTGTGGAATGCAGCTGTAAATTTCTTCATGACAGATTATAGGACCAGATGCTGTGAGAAAAGATGTGTGTGTGTGTGTGTGTGTGTGTGTGTGGTGTGTGTGTGCGTGTGCATGTGTGTGTGTGTGTGTGTGTGTATGTTCTGTTACTTGGAGAAAGATCAAATTTAAATGGAAAATGGAGGAGGACTTTTTATATTCTCCTCATTTGCACTCCAAGTTAGGAAGTGGCTGTATAAATAAATGATCTCCAAGAACCTTTATGGGACTGACGTGGCTTGACCAAGATGATCGGAGTCATGGCTTAGGGTGTGAAAGCGGCCTCTAGTACTTGAAGAATAAGAGATTAAGCTTCTGTGTCACCTGGAGGAACCATCCTGACGAAGGGGACCTGAAGGGGTCAGTCCAGCAAGGTGGTTAAGCCCAAACCTTGAAGCCAGCAGCTGAGGCTCACATGCCAGCTCACTCCTCAATAGTTATGGGCAGTTGGACATGGTAGTCAGTTTCTTGAAGCTCTGTTTCCTCATCTCTATTCTAAGGAAACTCACACTAACCTCATAGGCTTATTGGAAGGCAAATACGAGATAATATTTGTAGTGTGCTCAGTCCATTGCCTGCTGTGCCATAAAAGCAATATAAGTGGAGGTAATAACAGCACAGTCATTGGGAGTCAGACTGCGGCTTGAGATAAGTTAGAACTTCCTAAAAAAAAAAGGTAACTTATTCAGGAAGTGCTGAAATTTCGCTGGGATTGTCTCCTGTTAAGGAAATTCGAAGAGAACATTTGAGATTGCAGATGGGCTTGCTGCATTTCAGTTCCCCTGACCCTCGTCTCCTTTGTCTCTCAGCTGGTGGCTCGCTTGGGCTGAGTCAGTGCTCCACTTTCAGACTAGATGGTGAAATGTGATGTGGGTGTTAGCTTCTCACCTGGCCCCGTGAGGCCAGAGGACAAGATCCAGAAGTGTAGGAGTTAGTCCTCTATGGAGTGAGTAACCTTTGAACAATGAGAAATGGAATACAGATGGGCCTCCAGATTGGGGCTTAGCCTGGGAGGGTTTTTAGCTTCACCCAGGAAGGAATTCAAGGACAAGCCCGTGGTGTTAGAGGGTACCTTTTATGGAAGCGGCAGTGTACTTGCAGAGCACGGCTCCCCCGCAGGCCGTGTGCCCAGAGCAGCAGCTCAGAGGCATTTCTGCAGGCATATTTATACCAACATTTAATGCTATGTAAACCAAGGGGAGAATTATGCAGAAATTTCTGGAAAAAGGGTGGTACTTTCTGGGTCATCAGGTCTTTGCTATGGAAAGGGGCAGTAACTTCTGGGTGTTGCCCTGGCAGTGGTAAACTGACATGGCACCCAGGTGTGTATGTTAAGAGTAGGTGATTGTGGAAGACAGTGTGGCGATTCCTCAAGGACCTAGAAATAGAAATTCCATTTGACCCAGCAATCCCATTACTGGGTATATATCCAAAGGATTATAAATTCCTCTATTATAAGGACACATGCACATGAATGTTCACTGCAGCACTGTTCACAATAGCAAAGACCTGGAACCACCCCAAATGCCCATCAATGATAGACTGGACAGGGAAAATGTGGCACATAGACACCATGGAATAATATGCAGCCATCAAAAATGAAGAGTTCGTGTCCTCTGTAGGGACATGGATGAACCTGGAAACCATCATTCTTAGCAAACTGACACAAGAACAGAAAATCAAACACCACATGTTCTCACTCATAGGCTGGTGTTGAACAATGAGAACACATGGACACAGGGAGGGGAGCATCACACACTGGGGTCTGTATGGGGGAACTAGGGGAGGGACAGCAGTGGGTGGGTAGTTTGGGAGAGATAGCATGGGGAGAAATGCCAGATATAGGTGACGGGGAGGAAGGCAGCAAATCATACTGCCATGTATGTACTTATGCAACAATCTTGCATGTTCTTCACATGTAACCCAAAACCTAAAATGCAATAAAAAAAATAAAAAATTAACCCCACCCCCTCACACAAAAGAGTAGGTGCTTTCACCTTTTCCCTTTTTTAACTAGTTCTCAATCTGCTCTAGTGTCTGAGCCCTGCCTCCAGAGTCAAGTTCCACCTCCCGCCTCAGAAGAAGCTGGGCAAATATACTTCTTCCTCCGTTCATTCTGCTGTAGGCTGCTCCGGAGTCCTGCCTGAAGATAGGTTGGTAAAGGCTGTCTGCAGTCTGCAGCTGACTGTGGAGGGTGGTACCACACCGGGCATTGTCTCATGATCCCTGCCTCGCTTTGTCTTTTTCCGCACCTCACCGTCTGGCTGTGCACCTCTCAGATAAGCTTTCTAAACTTAAGCCTTGAGTCTGGCTCATCTTCAAAAAATCAAATTAAAAAATTTAAAAAGGCTGGGCACAGCAGCTCACACTTGTAATCCTAGCATTTTGGGAGGCCAAGGCAAATAGATCACTTGAGGTCAGGAGTTCAAAACCAGCCTGGCCGACATGGTAAAGCTCCATCTCTACTAAAAAACACAAAAAATTAGCCAGGTGTGGTGGCATGTGCCTGTAATTCTAGCTATTTGGGAGGCTGAGGCAGGACAATTGCTTGAACCTGGGAGGTAGAGGTTGCAGTGAGCCGAGACTGCGCTGCTACACTCCAGACTGAGTGACAGACTGAGACTCCGTCTGAGAAAGAAATAAAAAAATAAAAATGAAGATAAAATAAAATAAAGTATCTGCACTGACACAGGTGTTTCTTTGAAGTCTGAGCTCTGCTTCTATTGGAAAGCTAACCTTTGACTTTCTTCTCCTCAGACAGGAGGCCAAATCAGCTGCGGTGGACGAGATTCCCGGGCTCACGTTCAGTTCACAACAAGGTGCCTGGGACTTCTTTACCTCTTTGAAATCAGTGAATCATGTTTGCATCATGTTAGGCATTTACATAATACCTTTGGGGCCAAGTGGCCTCTTCTTTCATACAAAGTGTGATATGTGACATTGCTATAGGCCTGTGATGTTACTTACACAGGCCAGGATGCTGGTTATTCTTGAAAAAATACTACATGGAGATTTTTGCTTTTTCTGCTACTTCGTTATACCCTGGTACACCGTGACTGCTCCCACTGGTGGTCAGGAAATAGTAAACGGTGTGCTGCTGAGTTGAAGGTGAGGCCGAGTCACCATTCTGTATATAGATTTGAAGCTTCAGTGGTAGGTGCTAAAATCCCAGTTTCTGTTTGTTTGTTTGTTTCATAGTTAGGAGTAATTGAGAGCCGAGAGTAGAGTTGTTCTTGCATTTTCTAAAATATGTGCCCTTTGTGACTTACTGTTGATTAATGTGTTACTCACTAGACTGTGACAGGTACCAGGGTTAAAATGATAAGCTGGATAAACATGGTCCATACTTTTGTGAAACTTACAGTCTGGTGGAGGAGATGATAAAACCCATAATGGCACAAACAAAATGACTAAAAATGGTGACACATGCAATGCAGGAAAAACCAAATCAGGGCACTGGGAAAGAGAAACAGAGAGAAACCTGCTGTGGAGGATGGCCAGGAAGTCCTCTCTGAGAACGCAACATATAAACCCGGTCTTGCAAGAGGCAAAGAAGCTGGAAGTGTGCAGAGTGGCCGTGGACTGCTGAAAGGGACCAAGGGACCCATCTGGAGCCTGAGGCAGATGGAGGGGCAGGAAGGAGGCCATCCAGGTGGGCATTGGCGCTGCGTTCTGTGAGTCAGGGTTTTAATTTACGGGCAACGAGAAGCTGCTTGAGGATTTGAAGGAGGGAAATGACATGACCCAGTTTAGGTACTAAGAATTTTACTCTGGTTTCTGTATGGGAAGTGATTTGAGTAGGGGAGAAACCTGTTAGTAAGTTGTTGACATGATCACAAACCCTATAGTGAGAAGAACCAGTGACCTACACCAGTGAATGGTAGCGGGAGAGAAAGCGGTAGGTGATTCCGTAAATGTTTTAAGGGCAAAATCGACAGAATTTACTGATTGATTGGACATAGTGGATAATAACAGGTGGGGATCAAGATAGATCACGAGACTTGGACCTGAGATGTTAGAAGGACAGTGGGAAAGATTGGGGAAGAGGGATATGCTTAGGGGAAAAAATGAATCATTCCAGTTTGAATGTTTACAGATATATTTAAATAGAAAAGGCAAGCAAGCAGTCAAACATATGAGTCTGGACTTCAGAGGAGTGTTCTGGGCTAAAATGATAAGTTTAAGAGGCATCTGATATAGTTGATATTAAAATGAGGTCATGAGGGTAGGCTCTACTCCAATAGGCTTGGTGCCCTTATAGGAGGAAGTCTGAGCACAGACACATGAAGGGGAGGCGATGCGAAGACCTGGGAGAAGACACCACCTACAAGCCGAGGGACGAAGCCTGCACAGGCTTAAGACATAAGGTAAGATGAAACCACCTTGGAGGAATGTGTAGAGAGGAAAGAGCACCAAGGGTCTATTCCTGGAGAAAGCTGTCAACGAAGATTAAGGAAGATCAACCAGGTAGGAGGAAAATAACAGAGGGTAGTGCCCAGGAGCTAAGGGAGGGAGTGTTTCTGGAATGGGACCAGGCAGCTGTGTTGGATGCCACTGAGAGATTGCCCAAGATGAGGGCAGAGACGTTCCCCCCGCACAGAGAGGCAGGGAAGCCAATGGGCTTGGCAAGGCTGGGTGGTGTGATCAAGGCTGGAGCTAGACGGGATTTCCTCAGGGGAAAGGTGAACCGAGGAGGCCAAGCCAGCACATGTGCAGACAGAAAACATTTCAGTGGCGTCTGGACAAAGGATCAAGAGATGGTTGCTGCAGTGGCGAGGAGAAATCTGGAAAACAGGAAGAGGCTGGTGATTCAAGAGACAGTAGACCGAAGGCGGCGCTGTCTAGGGGAGACAGGTAGACAGGTGCACCACACCGCAGATCATGAGATTGTCCCTTGATACTAGGACTGTGTCTGTTTGCTGGGGCTGTCGTAATCAGGTACCCAAACTGGGTACCATGGACAAAAGCACGAACTGTGTCACAGATCTGGAGGCCGAAGGTCCAAGATCAAGGTGTTGGTGGGGTTGGTTCTTTCTGAGGGCTGCGAGGGAAGCATCTGTACAGGCTTCGTCCCTCGGCTTGTAGGTGGTGTCTTCTCCCAGGTCTTCGCATCGCCTCCCCTTCATGTGTCTGTGCTCAGACTTCCTCCTATAAGGGCACCAAGCCTATTGGAGTAGAGCCTACCCTCATGACCTCATTTTAACGTCACCTCTTTAAACACCCTGTCTCCAAATACAGCCCCATTCCGAGGTACTAAGAGGTTAGAATTTCAACATAGGAATTTGGTAGTTGGGGGTGTTGGGGGTTGCGGGCTGGGACTTAACAGCCTGTAACAAGGAAAAATATTTCTTCTCCTATAGCTGAATGAGAAAGGGTTGGGGAAGGCAGGGCTAGGTGTTTAGATTGGTGGTGAAAGGTAGAAAGGTGCTTCATTTCATGGCTTCTAGAGTCTCAATGAGACAACTATGGGTGAGAGATTAGAAAAGAAAAAAGGCTGGAAACAGTTGCCTGGGGAAACGGGACCGTTATCTTACTAAAGAAACACTAGGATTCCTGGGTAGCAGTGAGGGCCCATTTCAGTTTTGAGGTCATGAATATAGAGTGAAACCATTCAGCTCAGTTTGTAATTTCCTGTAGCAACACACAGCTGCTCTGGAGGACAGAGAGAAGCAGATGGGATTGTACCAGGCAAGCGTCACTTACCACGAGGTTTTAAAATAGTGTGCAGTTTTGAGAGAGGTTTAAAATACCACCAGCATTTAGATAGAAGCCATCACTCTCTTCCTTTCTGCATGTCACATGTTCGGGTTCCAGAAAACCTGAACCTGGCAAGCAGGACCCTCTAGACCAGAGTCAGGGATGTCCACAGGAAGCCCTCAGAGAAGACAGAAGTTTGCCTGACCAGATTCCAGCCTGGTGAAGAACTATGATTCACGCACTTTCACATTTCCTCATGGCTGGGGAGCTAGGAAACGCTACCACTTTTTGTGTTCACAGCCGCAAGTGAACTTTTATTTATTCACTCAGCAAACAATGCTCTGTGTGCTCACTGTGTGCAGCCGCCATTCTCCTCAGTGTTAGTGAACAAGAAAACGTCTGCATATAAAGTTTGGTAGTGGAGGTGGAAAGGAATAGAAAATTAAGCAACGGTAATACTGTTTGGGAATAATGCTGTGAAGAAACAAAAGCATAGTAGAGATTTAGGAAAGGGAAAGGGTTTAGATAGAGGGATTGTATGAGCTCGGGAGAGGCTGCGTTTGGGCCGAGCATGAGGAAGCCAGAGATTGACACTTTAGATCTAGAATATTGCTCTTTGCAACAACTTTCTGCTGAATTGCAGATTAAATGATGATAAATCTACCTCATGAGGGATTCTACTTCCTAAGACAGGGTAGTTGTATACAAAGTTTGATTTACCATCGCTTTGATGGTCAACATGTAACAATGTACAAAAGTTCTATTAGCAAATTACTAGTGAGTCCAGGACTATTATTTCCCAGGAACCAAATGGTTCCACTATCAGTTGAAATCTTAGTGCATGACTAGGGCTCATAAAAAGTTAATAGAAACCTTGAAGCCACTTGGATTGTTGATTTTCACAGACATCCCAGAGACATCAAAATACTGCTCCTTCTACCGTTACAACTGCAAAATAGGATATGGTACGTGGTCGACTCTTGCAACAGAAGATATTTCCATAACACAGCATTATCACATGACCTTTTTCCAAATATAAATTCACTTCTCTGCCAGGTTTATGACATGATAGCTAAACAACTTTGGTATTAAAACCAGTGGAGACAGTTAGCAAGGGAAATAAGGAAGGCTCCCGTGCACATGACATATGGTGTAGATGTGTATATTCATGTCCAGGATTTCCGGACTTCCACATGTTCTAGAAATCTAGAAATTCACTTTCATTAAGGTAAGTAAGTTTCAAGTATGTTACTTCTTTTATAAAAGGCGTCCTTTTATAGGGCAGTACTTGGAATCCGGTTATTTGAAAATAGTTGAAAATATGGTGTTGATACAATCTCCATCATGAGCAACACCCACCAGAAATGGTGAGCCCTGGAGGTCTCTCAGAATCGCAGTGGACCCTCAGCCTCCTTTTTCCCCAGTAAATGACTGGGAAGAAAATCAGCTTCTCTGTCAGAGGTGACTTAGGGAGGTTGTAAGCTAATACCAGGCAAACAGTTGGTCTTTCAATCACTGGTGCAGTATGTTTTTCTCTACAGAAGGTGTAAGTTTTCCATGTCTTGCTCTCTTACTCCTAGTCAACAACTGAAACGTGGCAACCATTAGTGATGATTTGCCAAATAATAACATTGTTTAGGCCATTAGCTGTTATTTACCAAGGATGAATGGAGTCAGTTTTATTCAAAGTGTTTCAGACCAGAATCACTGAGAACAATGAAGCTGACGTTATCCATACGCTATCCCAGACTCCCTTATTCACCTTAAAGTCAATAATAGGATGATAGCAACATCCTGGAAGTCTGCTTTAAAAAAAAAAAAACAACTTTATTGTGATATAACTCATATGGTGCAAAATCTACTCTTTTAAGATGTACAGTTTAGTAGTTTTAAGTATATTCACAGATACAGTAGATTAACAGTATATTCGAATTTTAGACATTTTATAATAACTTAAAGGAAACTTTATGCCCATTTTCTCCTGCCAGCCTCTGGCAACCTTTCTGTCTATATGAATTTACCTATTCCTTATTAAATTATTTCCTCGTCTGTAATTACGTTTTCCTGATTGATGCTTTAGTCATTAAAAATATCCTTTACATCTAGAAAGAGCTTTTGTCTGAATATCATTTTGTCTCATGTTAATAGAACCACTCCATCTTCAGTTTGGTTACTCTTCTCTTACAAGACCTTTTTCCACATTTACTTTCAACCAATTTGTGTCTTTGACCCTCAAATGTATCTCTTGTAGATAGCATGTAGTTGGAGCATGTTTTTTTTTTCTTTTTTAAAGCCTAGTTTGCCAATCTCTCCCTTTTTATTATAGTGTTTAATAATTTACATTTAACATAATTAACAATGAGGTAAGATTTACTTCTAGCATTTGGCTATGTGATTTTCTTACGTGTTACATCCCATCAGTTTCTCTTTCTTGTTAGATAGACGTTTCCTGTTGTCTCATTTTACTATACTTCTTACTTCTTGATTGACTTCTCACTATTTTACTCAATATTTTACATTTTACCTCTTGTTTTTTTTTAACATATTTTTGGAGTGATTTTCTCAGTGGTGCCCTGGATATTACAACTAGCATCCTATTTTTAAAAAATCTTAATTTCAGTAGCATACAAAAACTTCACACAAAAATAACACTCTTTCCTCCCCCACCTCCTTTGTGCTGTGATTATCATTCGAATTACCTTATCCATGACAAACTCATCAATACATTTAAAAAATTATTGCTATATGCAATTATCTTTTAAATCAGATTGGAGAAGAAAAGGGTCATATGTGTACTGTCTTTTATGTTTGCTTATGTAGCTACCTGTATCAGCCCTTTTTATTTCTTCATGTGGATTTGAGTTACTGTCTAATGTCCTTCATGTTAGCATGAAGGGCTTCCTTTACTATTTCTCATACAGCAGGGCTGCTAGTGATACATTTTCATTTGTTGGTCTGGGAATATCTTCCTTTCTTCTACATTTTGAAGAATAGTCTTGCTGCATACAGAATTTTTGGTTGGCAGTTGTTCTCTTTCAGCAGTTTTACTTATGTCACCCACCGTCTTCTGGCTTTTATAGTTTTGGATGATAAATCAAATGTTGATCTCATTGAGAATCATTTGTATATAATGTATCATTTTCTCTTGCTGCTTTCCAGGTTCTGTTTTTGTCTTTGTCTTTTAACAGCTTGACTATGATGCAGTTTGACTATGATGTAAGTTTATTTAAATTTATCCTATTTGGAATTTGTAGTTTCTTAGTTGTCTAGATCAATTTTTACATGAATTTCTCTAAAATTTAATAATAGAATAATAAAATTTAATAATAAAATAATTTTCAGCTTTATTTCTCTAAATACTATTTTTGCCTCCCTTTTTTTCTTCCTCTCCTTCCTAAGGAACTCCAGTACATGTATGCTGGTATATTTGATGGCGTTACACAGGTTTCTGACTTTCTTTATTTTCTTTACCCTTATTCTTTGTCTTCCTCAGTTTGAATAATCTCCTTTGATTGTCTTCAACTTTTCTGAGTCTTTCTTATGCCATTCAGGTCTGCTGTTGAGTCTTTTGTGTGATTTTTTTCTTTCAGTTACTATACTTCTCAACTCCAGAATTTCTATTTGGTTCATTTCTACAATTTCTCTCTGTTTATTGATATTTCTCATCTGGTAAGGCAACATTGTCATACATTATTTCTTGAGGAATTGTATTCTATAGGTTTTTGACATATTTATAATAGCAGATTTAAAGTCTTTTAGCAGTAAAATGCTCTATCAGTACTATATTAGCAATAAAGTACAACATCTGAGCTTCCTTAGGAACCGTTTCTGTTAACTACATTTTTCCCTATGCAGAGGCTGTACTTTGCTGTTTATTTGCATGTCTCATAACAATTTTGGTTGAAAAGTGAACATGTAAAATATTATAGTGCAGAAAAAGAGGGCATGACCACAAAAAGAACAAATTCCAGAAATATAAGAGTAACAAATAGAGTAGATATTAATTCAACTATATCAATCAATTTAAATGTGAATGGTCTAAATATGCCAGCTAAGAAATAGAGACAGACGGAATGTGTTAAAAAAAAATCCCTCAATTATATGTTGCTTACATGAAATCCACTTTGTGATGACACAGATATGTTAAAAGGATGAAGAAAAATATATCATGCAAACACTAAACAAAAGAGAGCTGGGGTAGATATTTATCCAGAATAAAGAGCATAATTACATAATGGTAAAGGAATCAATTATCCAAGAAGATATAACATCTTTAATGTGTATGCACCTAAGAACAAACTGTCAAGTTATATGGGACTGAAACTAATAGAAAAAATAGACAAATCTCTGATTATATTTGAAGACTTTCTATCTGTCAGTTACAATCTCTCTATTATAACGGACAGATTAAGCAGGCAGAAATTCAGCAAGGATCTAGTTCAACTGAAGACATCTGTCAATAAACGGGATCAAACTGACACATCATTCAGCAACAGCAGAATGTACATTTGATTCATTTCTACAATTTCTCTCTGTTTTCAGTCTCACATGGACACTTACCATGACCATGGTGATGATCAATCATATTCTGAGTCATAAAACACCTTAAGAAATTTCAGCAAATACAAATCACACAACATATTCTTACACCATAATAGAATTGAACTAGAAGTCAACAATAGAAATATAACCGAAAAATTCTAAGTATTTGGAGACCAAACAATGCAATTCTAAGTAACACATAGGTCAAAGGAAGAGTCACAAGAGAAATTAAAATGTATTTCGAACTAAATAAAATAATAATTCAACTTAATAAAACCTGAGGAATGTAGTAAACACAATGTTTATAGGAAAATTTACAGCAATCAATACATATGGTAAAAAAGAAGAAGATCAAAATTCAATAATCTAAGCTCTCATCTTAGGAAACTGGAGAAATAAGAATATACACCTAAAGCAAGCAGAAGAAAAGAAATAAAATTAGACCAAAAATTAATAAAATTGAAAGCAGAAAATCAACAAAACCAAAAGCTGTTTCTCTGAGAAGATCAATTAAATTGATGAAACTGTAGCCAGGCTAACCAAGACAAAAAGAAACAGTACAAAATACTAACATAAGAAACGAAAGAGCGGCCATCACTACTGACACCGTGGACATAAAAAGAATAATAGGGCCGGGCGCCGTGGCTCAAGCCTGTAATCCCAGCACTTTGGGAGGCCGAGGCGGGAGGATCACAAGGTCAAGAGATCGAGACCATCCTGGTCACCATGGTGAAACCCCATCTCTACTAAAAATACAAAAAATTAGCTGGGCATGGTGGCGCGTGCCTGTAATCCCAGCTACTCAGGAGGCTGAGGCAGGAGAATTGCCTGAACCCAGGAGGCGGAGGTTGTGGTGAGCCAAGATCGCGCCATTGCACTCCAGCCTGGGTAATGAGAGCGAAACTCCGTCTCAAAAAAAAAAAAAAAAAAAGAAGAAGAATAAAGGAATATTATAAACAGTGCTATGCCCACAGATTTGAGAACCTAGATGAAACGGACAATTTTTTTTTAAAGGCATAATCTAACAAAACTCATTCAGGGAAAAACAAGTATTATGATTAGGTCTTATTTATTAAAGGAATTGAATAAACAGCCAATACACTTCCAACATGATAGCATCAGGCCCAGATGGTTTTACTGGTTAGTTCTACCAAAGAATTAAGTGAGAAATCACAGCAATTATTTACATTCTCTTCCAGAAAATAGAACTAGAGGGAATTCTTCTGAATTCATTCATTCATTTATTCATTTTCTTAGTATCAAAACCAGAAAAAGACAGCTGGAACAACTAGACGTCTCATGTAAAATACACGAATAAATCTAGATACAAACTTTAGACCTTTCACAAAAAATTAACTCAAAATGGATCATAGACCTAAATGTAAACTGTAGAAACTTTATGTTTTTATAACTTCTAGAAGATAACAGAGAAAATCGAAATGGGAGATGACTCAGTGCAATACCAAAAGCACTATCCATGAAAGAAAAAAAATGGAGAAATTGGACTTTGTTAAAATTTTAAATGTCTGATTTGTGAAAAATACTGTTAAGAGAACGAAAAGACAAGCTTCAGAGTGGGTGACAGTGTTTATGGAACATATATATCTCATAAAGAACTTGCAACCAAAATATATACAAATAACCCACCCCCCTTTTTTGAGACGGGGTCTCATCTGTTGCCCAGCCTGGAGTGTACTGGTGCAATCTTGGTTCAGTGTAACCTCTGCCTCTTGGGCTCAAGTGATCTCCCTAGTAATTGGGAGTACAACTAATTCTTTTGTAGTTTTGTAGAGTCTCACTATGTTGCCCAGGCTGGTCTTAAATTTCTGGGTTCAAGTGGTCCACGTGTCTCAGCCTCCCAGTGTTGGGATTACAGGAGTGAGCCAGCATGACCAGCTCAAAGAACTCAAGCTTGACCATAAGGAAGCAAACAACTCCATTTAAAAATGGGCCCCCCCAAAAATCTGAACAGAACACCTCATCAAAGAATATAGACAGATGGCAGGTAAGCATAGAAAACAATACTCAACATCACATGCCATTAGAGAATTGCAAATTAAAACAACAGTGACATATTACGACACACAGACTAAAATTGCTAAAATCCAAACATCTGACCATACCAAGTACTGACAAGAATGTGGAGCAACAGGAACGCTTTCTTCACTAGTGCGATTGCAAAATGGTACAGCCGTTTTGGAAGACAGTTTAGTAGTTTCTGACAAAGCAAAACATAATCTAACCGTGTAATTCAACAATTATGTTCCTAAGTATTTCCCCAGATGAGTTAAAAACCTATGTTCTTAATTTGCTCCCCACCATGGCATTTAAAACAATTTTGATTCGGGGGTATATGTGCCAATTTCTATATGGATATATTGTGTAACGCTGAGGTTTGGGCTTCTGCTGAAACTGTCACGCAAATCATGGACACAATACCCAATCGGGAGCTTTTCAATCCGTGTTCCCCTCTCTCTCCTCCTTGTTGGAGTCCCCAGTGTCTGCTGTTTACATCTTTATGCTACTTACACAACTTGTACACAAATGTTTATATTCATAATTGCAAAGAACTGGAATCAAACAATATATCCTTCCATAGGTAAATGGATGAACAAAGTATGGTACATCCATATAATAGCATCTTATTTAACAATAAAAAGAAAATGAGCCATTAAACCAAGACAAACACATTGCTGAGTGAAAGAAGCCAGTGCGAGAAGGCTAAATACTGTATGGCCCCAACTACATGACATTCTAGGAAAGGCAAAGCTATGGAAACAGTAAAGAGGACAGGTGGGCGCAGACAGCCTGTCTGGTTGACTTTGCAGAGCCATGGAGGGGAGCTTCTGCTTGGATTTCAGGGGCTCAAGCAGCAGAAGGTTTGACCTGGGGCTGGTCGTGGAACAGGTGAAGGTGCACATTGCATGGCACCCGCAGACAGGTGCTTCTGGAAGCGCATCGAGAAGGTGGGGTGGGGGAATCTCTGGACAATTTTGAGCAGAAGTGCATCCTGATGTGAATGGACAGCTACATGGACACTTGGAACACTGTGTCCTATGCCCACAACTCCTGGCTACAGCAGGAACAAGCCCATATGTGACCAGGAGGCAGAACGCTGGCTGGAGGGCCACCCTCCAGCCTCCCCAACCCATTTTCATTTCCATGTATGTGCTTTGTGAGTTGGTGACCAACATGTGTTCACTGACTACCCATTGCATATGAGAATGGCACCGTGCCAGGACAGATGGGACTATGTCCCTCCCGGCCCCCACCCTGCCCCTGCCCCTTACCCCATGGCAGTGAGTGTGGCTTGGGTCTGGTTCCTTCCTAAAGTGCTGGCAGCCCAGCAGCACCTCCTTCAGGCCTGAGAGTAGGTGGTTCCTCCCCTGGTCAGCTTCGTGCCCTGGGCAGAGAACTCTTGTTTATTTATTATTATCGTTTATTTCAATAGCTTTTGTAGTACATGTGGTTTTTGGTTACATGGATGAATTATATAGTGGTAAATTCTGAGGTTTTAGTGTACTGTCACCAGAATAGAGTGCATTGTACCTAATATGTAGTTTTTTATATTGCATCCATCCTTCCTTCTCCCACTTCTGAGTCTACAAAGTCCATTGTATCACTCTGCATACATATGAATTTGGTGGGTGGGGAGCTATGAATTTGGGAATTCATAGCTCCCCACCCACCCTTAAGTGAGAACTTCTCGTGTTTGGTTTTTCATTCCTGGGTTACTTCACTTATAATAGTGACTTCCAGCTCCATCCAAGTTGCTGAAAAGACATTATTCCATTCCTTTGTATGGCTGAGTAGCATTCCATGGTGTATATATACCATATTTTCTTTATTCACTCATGGGCTGATGAACACTTAGGTTGGTTCCATATCTTTGCAATTGTGAATTGGGCTGCAGAAAACATATATATTTTTCACATAATGACTTCTTTTTCCTTTGGGTAGAGACCCAATAGTGTCTGGATTGCTGGATCAAGTGGCTGAAGTGGATCTTTAGTTCTTTAAAGAATCTCCATACTGTTTCCCATAGAGGTTGTACTAATTACATTCCCACCAGCAGTGTGTAAGCAATCCCTTTATCCACACTAGCATCTATTGTTTTTTGACTTTTTAGTAATGGCCATTCTTCCAGGGGTAAGCTGGCGTCTAATTGTGGTTTTGCTTTACATTTCCCTGACTAGTGATGTTGAGTATTTTTTCCTATGTTTCTTGGCCATTTTGTATCTTCTTCTGTTTTAAATTGCGACCACAGAAGCACTAATTGTGTATCTTCTTTGAGGAAATGTTTGCTCATGTTATTTGCCTGCTTTTTAATGGGATTATTTGCCTTTTTTCTTGCTGATTTGTCTGAGTTCCTTGGAGTTTCTGGATGCTAGCTCTTTGTCGGATGCACAGTTTACAAATATTTTCTCCCATTTTGTGGTTTGTCTGTTTAATCTGATGATTATTTATTTTGCTGTGCAGAAGCTTTTTAATTTAATGAGGCCCTATTTATTTTTGGTTTTGTTGCATTTGCTTTTGGGGTCTTAGTCATGAATTCTTTGCCTACGCTGATGTCCACATGAGTTTTTCTAAGGTTATCTTCTAGAATTTTTATGGTTTTGAGACTTAGCTTTCAGTCTTTGATGCACTGTTTTTGTAAAGATGAGAGGTGAGGATCCAGTATATTCTTCTACGTGTCACTTGCCATTACTTCAGCACCATATATTAAATACCCAATTTATGTTTTTCATGCTTTGTCAAAGGTCGTTTGGTTGTTTTTGGTTTTATTTCTGGGATCTCTGTTCTGTTCCATTGGTCTTTGTGCTTATTTGTATACCAGTACCATGCTGTTTTGGCAACTATAGCCTTGTAGTATAACTTGAGGTCTGGTAATGTGACGCCTCCAGATTTGTTCTTCATGGCTTATGATTGTTTTGGCTATGTGGGCTCTTTCTTGGTTCCATGTGAAATTTAGGATTGTTTATTTTTTCTGATTCTGTGAAAAAATAATGTTGGCATTTTTTATGGGAATTGCATTGAATCTGTAGGTTGCTTTGGGCAGTGTGGTCATTTTCACAGTATTGAGAGAACCCTTATTTTGGCCTTTTTGGAAGAGAGAGTGGTCAGACCCCACCTGAGCTGTGCACTCTTGAGGATGGACAAATAAAGTGCTGGAGGAAGGATAGAAAAAAAAGCAGTAAAAAAAACCCAGCAGTTCTCAGTATTTCAGTGAAGGGAACGGGAATGAATAGGTGGAGCCCAGTGGAGCTTCAGGGCAGTGAAACTGTTCTGTATCATACTCTAATGGTGGACTCATGTCATTAGACATTTGTCAAAACCCATAGAATGTAAAGAGGAACCCTTTCACAGCTTGCCAGGAGTCTAAAAAATAACAAATAAAAGGGCCAGTTGTGGTGGCTCATGCCTGTAATCCCAACACTTTGGGAGGCTGAAATGAGAGGATTGCTTGAGCCCAGGAGTTCAAGACCAGTCTGGGCAACATAATGAGACCTCATTTCTGGAAAGAAAAAGGAAGTTAGCTAGGTGTGGTGTGCAACACACCTGTTGTCCTAGCTATTCAAGAGCTGAGGCAGGAGGATTGCTTGAACCCAGGAGTTTGAGGCTGCGGTGAGCTATGATTATGTCACTGCACATCAGCCTGAGCAATGGCTGGAGACCCTGTACCAAAAAGGAAAACAATAAATAAATAAAATAAAAGAGTGAACCGTAATGTAGATTATGGTCTTCAGTTAATAATAATCTGTCAATATTGGCTCATCAATTATAACACATATATCACACTCATTCATTGTTAAGAGCAGGCGAGCTGGCCTGCTGTGGTGGCTCATGCCTCTAATTCCAGCACTTTGGGAGGTCGAGGCAGGAGAACCACTTGAGCTCAGGAATTGGAGACCATCCTGGCCAACATGGTGAAACCCCATCTCTACTAAAAATACAAAAATTAGCTGGTCGTGGTGGTAGGTACCCATAGTCTCAGCTACTCAGGAGGCTGAGGCAAGAAAATTGCTTGAACCCAGGAGGTGGAGGTTGCAGTGAGCCAAGATTGCAACACTGTATTCCAGCTTGGGCAACAGAGCAAAACTCCTTCTCAAAAAAAAAAAGAAAGAAAGAAAGAAAAAGGAAGGAAGGAAGGAAGGAAGGAAGGAAGGAAGGAAGGAAGGAAGGAAGGAAAAGAAGAAAGAAAGAAAGAAAGAAAGAAAGAAAGAAAGAAAGAAAGAAAGAAAGAAGGAAAGAAGGAAAGAAAGAAAGAAAGAAAGAAAGAAAGAAAGAAAGAAAAAGAAAGAAAGAAAGAAAGAAAGAAAGAAAGAAAGAAAGAAAGAAAGAGGAAAAAAGGAACAGGGATGCGGTGTGGACTCTGTATTAGCTGCTTAATTTTGATTAACCCTAAAATGGCTCTACAAAAGAAAATCTATTAATGAAAACGTTAATATAATATGGCAACTCTTAAAATCAGTTTTTCCGTCTCAGTTCCCCGGTCTGTTGTTGTTTTTTTACAGTCTTTTCTAAACTAATTCTGTAGTCTCTGTTCTCTGTTCTCTGTGGCCTCTGAAGTTTGGGCCTGGTTAGCTTAGGGGTCAGTTAATCATTAGACAGAAACTTCCCTGAAAGCCTTGAGCCAATGTCTGCTACTCTCACCAGGGGCTCTGAGTGTACAGTGAGGCACACCTGCAGGGCTCCGGCAGTTTGCACCTCTGCCTTAACCTTGACTTCCTGTTTGCAGAAGTCCTCAAAGTCACCTCCAGGTGAGAGATTTTACTGGTTATGTACACAGCCTTGTCCCTGTGTGGGTCTTCATTTTTCCTAAGATATCTTGTACATATTCAAAGTCTCCTATGGATATCTCATTCCCTGGATTTTCCTTTTCATATTTGTGGCCAAGCCCTTGCTTTCCCCAGCTGTGTCTTGAGATCAGGCTTGCTGAGAGCACTATCATTGTCCTGCTCCCTCGGAGGCTGCTGACTTTCAAAGCAGGAACAGCTGCTAGGCTGTGGCCTTTGGAGGCTGCCATGGGGCTGGATGGAGAGGAAAGGAAATAAGGCTGCTTACAACACCTGAAGCTCAGTTTCTGCTGAATTCAGCTATGCTCTCAAATAAATATTTCTCAGATGGTTGTGAGCCTCTGGCTAATTTTCAGAGTTGTGAAGATGTTGATTCTGACCATGTTGAAACTGTTCACATTGCTATGTGGAGGAACAGATATTCAGAGGTCCTTATCCCACCAGTTTGGAAGTTTTTCTCCCAGCCTTACTTGCTTTTTGTTTTGAGACGCCCAGGCTGGAGTGCAGTGTCATGATCTCAGCTCACTACAACCTCCACTTCCTGGGTTCAAGAGATTGTCCTCCTCAGCCTCCCAAGTGGCTGGGACTACAGGTGTATGCCACTGGACCTGGCTAATTTTTGTATTTTTAGTGGAATTGGGGTTTCACCATGTTGGCCAGGCTGGTCTTAAACTGCTGACTTCAAGTGATCCCCCTACTTCGGCCTCCCAAAATGCTGGGATTACAGGCATGAGCCACCAAGGCCCACCTCCCAGGCTTACTGTCTACATCAGCTTTGTTTCATACAAGTGCCGGGGGCTACACAGGTAAGCCTTATTTAGCTAATCTCATTGCTGAAGCCTTTACATTAAATATTAAATAATTATTTTAAACATATGAGGTGTGGTTATTTTTAAAAAGTAGGTGCTAACTTACTTTACTTCACTTAGAGCCTTAGATTTTAATTCTTGAATTTATCGTACGTGAGAGCCTGACTCTTGCTCCTGACTGTGCTTCAACATCACCTAAGGAACTCTGAAAATACTGGTGCGGAGGCTGTACCTCTGGCAAATCGAATTGGAGCCTCTGTGGGTGGGGCCCAAGCCTCTGCAGTGTTATTTTTAAGCTCCTCAGCTTATTCTTATTCTCAGAGAGGGTTGAAGGTTGACAGTCCCGGAGCGTTAAGTCTGGCACTAAATTGATTTGACCTACTTTTTGAGTCTTCAGACAAAGAAGGAAAGGCGAACTCCAGAAAAAGGAACGGACAGTGACTGCCACCAGAGGCAGGTCAGCCTCAGGAGCGCCAGCAGCAGTGAATACAACAAGGAATGTAAAAGCACTGAAAACTGAAAATCGCAATACAAATAAATCGTTTTATTGTGTTTCGAATAAAAATCACAATACTAATACATTGTTTTATTGTGTCCTTATTCTAAGGATCATATTTGTACATATGTCCATGTGTAGGGACTGGTTAATTCTGATGTATTATCATGTATTGAATATTTAAGGAAAGGTTCCAAACGCAAAGCTTCTGTTTACTACAGGACATGCTCCTCTCTTGACATTGAGGTATTACGGCAATACGCTCAGTATTGTCAACCGGAAAAGCGTCCCTAACTTCAATGCCCAGAGTTTTTACTGGGGCTTCATTTGTAGGCATGATTGATAGATTGATTGATTGCCCCGTGGTTGAACTCAGTCTCCCCCTACAAAGGTTGGGCTGATATCACATGGCCCAGTGGAACTGCCTTGAGTCAACTTGCTAGTATAAACCAGCAGGTCTGGTGTGCAGGACAGGGAACATGTAAAACAAAGGCAGTCCTGTCTTTCCAGAAATCCCAGGGTTTAGAGAGTAGCTCTCGGGACAAGCTCAAATTTTTTGCTACACATATGCAGAAACTGAGTTTAAGCTGTTAGGCTGGTGTTATGTAACAAAATCACAAAAATCGAAATTTGTGCATAAGAAAATTGTGCTTCTATTTACACATGCATGAACTGCCTACAGAAAGTTGGAAGCAATGTTTTCATTTGGGAAAACAGTTTGTCAGAATGTAGCAACAAGCCTTTTAAAAAGCATACATTAGATTCAGTGATCTCATACTGTGACTAATTCAAAGAGCAACATCAAATATTTAAAAGTTTATCTCAAAAAAATGAAAAACAACCTAAACTGGAAAATGTTCATATTTTAGGGATTGTAATGCAGTTATTTTCATGCATAAAATTGAGAAATGTTTATATATAATGCTACCTGAAAAAGTATAAAATTATATATGTAACATGAATCAACTTATATTTCCGAAGTCATACTAAATTTTGTATACTAGCTATCTTTAATCCCTAGGAAAAAAAAGTAATTGCTAGCTCATTTTGCTTTGCTCTATATTTCAATTTTTCTACAAGCTGGAGTTCTTAGAAAATTTAAAACTTAGGCTGGGGATGGTGGCGCACACCTGGAATCCCAGAACACTGGGATGCTGAGGCAGGTGGATCACTTGAGGTCAGGAGTTTGAGACAAGCCTGGCCAAAATGGCGAAACCCTATCTCTACTAAAAATTAAAAAAAAAAAAAAATTAGCTGGTAGTTGTGGCACATGCCTGTAATCCCAGCTACTTGGGAAGGTGAGACCAGAAAATCACTTGAACCCGGAGGTGAAGGTTGCAGTGAGCCAAGATGGTGCCACTGCATTTCAGCCTGGGCAGTAGAGTGAGATTCTGTTTAAAAATTTTTTTTTTTATTTAAAACAGACATTAAATAGTTTTGCTTTTGACATAGTTCTTAATGAGGTACCAATTGAACATTGAAAAGTGATTTTCATAAAAATAAGGTCTTTGGAAAAGAGGATTTAGAATAGACTTTTATAGTGTATATTCTATGCAAGATTTTGGTGAATATGTAACCTTCTTATCTGGCATTTTTTTCGGGAGGCAGAGATGGTGCAGAACTTCTATTAGATGTTCAAAGAATATGCAAACTCAGAAACGTTAAGAACAACTCAAAGAAAATTTCAAAAGGAACAAAACAGATGAAACTGTGAACAGAAGATGAAAGAGTAACATTTTGATGGGAAAACAAGTCTTAAACGGTTTTCTTAATACAGAAAGAGCTAGGATTGCAGGACAATTTAAAAGGTGTGGGTTTTAAAATTGGTGGACCTGGGGTCAAAGTTCAGTTCCATCACTTAACTAGAATTTTCATGTGAGCAAAGTTACTGAGTATCCGCGTTATGGTTTGAGTATTTGTGTTACCCCAAATTATATGTTGAAACTTAATCTCCAATGTGATAGTTGTAAGAGGTGGGGCCTTTGAGGAAGCGATTAAGTCGTGAGGGCAGAGCCCTCAGGGATGGGATTAGTGCCCACATTAAAGAGGCCAGAGGGAGTTTGCTTGCCCCCTTCGGCCACGTAAAGACACAGCAGGAAGTCACCGTCTGTGAGGCAGACACCAAATCTGCTGGTCCCTTGATCTCAGACTTCCCAGGCTCCAGGACAATGAGCAATTTCTGTTGTTCATTCATTACCGCAGTCTAAGATACTCTGTTATAGCAGCCGAAATTGACTAAGACACTCCCGGAGTGTATTGTCTATCTAGTCCCAGTCTAGAATATTGATTGAAGCTGCGTGAGAGTTGCTAAGTACTGTGCCAGGCAGTTTACAGGTAGCAGCTCACTGATACAATGACCCTAGGAGGCAGGTAATATTGTCCTCATTTTAAAGTAAGAAAAGTGAGGCCTATCCAACAGGATCAGAAGGAAACCTGCAGTCACCACTGAGCATATGTTGGCAAAAGAAACCAGAAACGGCTGCTTTCCACGCCTGTTGAGTGTAACAATGTTATTCTTGCCACAGAGCCACTCTCGTCCTTTCCTATCTGCTCCTCTCCCTGTTGTATTGAAGACTGCTGGAAATACACATGAACATTTTTACTTTAATCCACATTGATACCCTTGAAGGAGGACATATTCCAAATACGGCCAATTCAGTTTCCCCAGAGGGACTCTGGGATGCGGGTCAGACTGTTCATGGAATAAAACAAGCCTGTTGAGGGATCTTCCTCTATGACAAAAAGCCCATGAGCAGAATACAGTCATTTACTGTTGAGAATGATAAAAGTTGTGATTATTGAGAACACCATGTCATACCCACTTCGGAAAGACTCCTTCTGTTCATTCTCCGTCCACTCCACCAGTGTTTGTTGAGCAGCTAATTAGTGTCAGATCCTCCCTAGGAGCCAGGCTCAGCACAGACACAAATCTCCTTCCAAGCATGGGCTCTTAAAGTGCCTTACGTCCTCTTCAAGCCTGTTATGTCTAGCCATTTTAATGAGCATGCACACATATTTCTGGAAAATTCCTGGTTAAAATTGGGTCTCAAGAAAGTAGGGTATTAGATTACTTGAAGCAGTAGACCTGTGCCCCCTAGTGACACAGGCTGCAAATTTTAGGGATAGTGCCGAAAGCAGTGGTCCCCAGTCTTTTTAGCACAGGTGATTCGTTCTGTGGGTGACAACTTTGCCACAAACCAGGGTGGGAGGGATGGTGTCGGGATAATTCAAACGCAACTGTGCAATTTATTTCTAGTATGATCACGTTGTGATATATAATGAAATAATTATACAACTCATCATAATGTGGAATCAGTGGGAGCCCTGGGCTTGTTTTCCTGCAATGGGTCCCATCTGGGGATGATGGGAGACGATGACAAACCATCAGGCATTAGATTCTCATAAGGAGCACACAATCTAGATCCTTTGAATGCACGGTTCACAATAGGATTTGTGCTCCCAGGAGAATCTTTTTAAAAATTTATTTATAATTTATTTTTATTTTCTTGAGACGGAGTTTCGCTCTTGTTACCCAGGCTGGAGTGCAATTGCTTGATCTTGGCTCACCGCAACCTCAGTCTCCCGGGTTCAAGTGATTTTCCTGCCTCAGCCTCCCAAGTAGCTGGGATTACAGGTGCTTACCATCACCCCTGGCTAATACTTTTTTTTTTTTGTATTTTTAGTAGAGATGGGGTTTCACCATGTTGGCCAGGCTGGTCTGGAACTCCGGACCTCAGGTGATCCACCCACCTTGGCCTTTCAAAGTGCTGGGATTATAGGCGTGAGCCACCACGCCTGGCCGTTCCTATCGGAATCTAATGCGGCTGCTGATCTGACAGGAGGCAGAGCTCAGGCAGTAATGTCATGATGGGTAGTTGCTCTAAATACCGATGAAGCTTTGCTCGCTTGCCTGCCAGTCACCTCCTGCTGTGTGGCCCAGTTGCTAACAGAGGGTGGGCCAGTCCCTAACAGGCCACAGACATGTACCAGTCCAGGGCTCAGGGGTTGGGGACCCCTGTCCTAAAGGAAATAAGGTCATTTGTTAATGTTATAAACCTTGCATTATAGGACCATGATGTGATACTTCTAAATCACATTTGTGTCAGAAATCTTGCTTCTAACCTTTAAGCTGTCCCTGTTCATTCTTGGGCATAGGCTGAGCTAACTTTGGGAAGGAATTCAGTTCATGGTTTGACTCTGAAACAAAATTGATAATAGCCCTTTCCCAAAAAGACTCCCTTCTTGCCTGCAGATCAGTCTGTCTTTGCAGGACTTACAAATTAGGCAAGATTAGAGATTACATTTTAGGGGTCATGCGGCCTCTGGCTCCAGCAGTCTGAGCTTCCCCAGATTGTTCCCGGAGATGACATCACTGTTGTAAAACTTAAGATCAGTGCTTGAGTTCTTTTCCAGACCCTGCGCTCCATGGATCAGCTGACACCATCTAGACCAGTCATCTGCCTCAACCAGCTCTGCCATCCCACCCAGGAACGGAAAACAGCAAGAAAAACTCACTGTGGATCAGCTGACACCATCTAGACCAGTCATCTGCCTCAACCAGCTCTGCCATCCCACCCAGGAACGGAAAACAGCAAGAAAAACTCACTGTGGATCAGCTGACACCATCTAGACCAGTCATCTGCCTCAACCAGCTCTGCCATCCCACCCAGGAACGGAAAACAGCAAGAAAAACTCACTGTGGATCAGCTGACACCATCTAGACCAGTCATCTGCCTCAACCAGCTCTGCCATCCCACCCAGGAACGGAAAACAGCAAGAAAAACTCACTGGGATTCCATCTCCAAACTGGCCAATCAGCACTCCCCACTTTCCAAGCCCCTACCCACCAAATTTAAAGACTCTGGTCCTTGAATGTTCAGGGAGACTGACTGAGTAATAATAAAACTTCGGGCTCCCACACAGCCAGCTCTGCGTGAATTACTTTTTCTCCACTCCAAGTCCCTTGTCTTGGTAAATTGGCTCTGTCTACGCAGCCGGCGAGGCGAACCCATTGACAGCTACGGCGATCTTAAAGGGAGCTACAGACTTAACTCTTGCAATACAAATAGAGCAGAGACGGG